ATACCCCCTCCCCCCCCCCCCCCCCCCCCATCTAATAACTGTTCATGCGGTTGGCGCTACGCGAAAAAATACTCACAAGATTCAGCACCCACCCTTAAAATTTTAATACCCACCCTTAATTTTCACTGGCTACATCCCTGTATATATATATATATATATGTATGTATCATGATATAACGAGTTATGCCTTTTGGCAGCACACCGAAACACCCGAAAGTTTATAAAATTAAATTAATGTTTTATTAAATATTTAACTTATTTCTGTCGGTCAAAGGTGTATTCTTGAGCAAAAAGTCATTATCTATCCTTGGGCGTTATTTATTTGTAAAATACTAATCATATAGGCCTATACACTCGGGCGTTGAAAAACATTGTTGGGCAGTCTCAGGCGGTGTTTAGTAGGACCCTTGACCAGTGTTCCGCCAGGAAGTGCTGTGGCAACGGGAAGGTGGACCATCAGTCATGAAGTTTCGAACACTCATCCTCTTCCTAGGCCTAGCTACTGTAAGCCCTAGACCTAAGCTAGGGCCTAGCTAGACCACCACTACGTCTAGTGTAGTAAATAAAAGAGGGCCTAAACTCTTAATATAGGCCTTAGGCCTAGTAGGAGGCCTAGTTAGTTTGCCACTTACTTACTCTCTCTAGCTAGGCCTATACTAATCTAAAGACGCTGTAAATGTGATCAATACTTACAAATACCATCGGTCTCTCGGAAAGAAGAGAAGCGTTGGCTTCTTTCATATATAGCTGATCCTGACCTAAGCCACCTTCTCTCTTCTTAGCTTTAGCAGTTCATTTGGTTCAGTTGACTGATTCAACCCACCACCAGGCTCCACATCATGCATGTGATCAGCTCAGTTGGTCATTATTTATTTCTCTCTCTCTTCGCTGAAAAGCAACAACTATAGAGGGCTCACTGCATTTATTATTAAAATATCAGATATCATTTAAAAAGCCATAAATAGAATAAATAAATTAAACTAAATAATAATAATAATAATAATAATAATAATAATAATAATAATAATAATATCTGACACTGATAAAAATTTTAAAAAGCACATAGTGGCAATTTCAGATATCGGTTAAAAGCAATCCATAAATTGGAATTTATGAAAAATACATTAAACGAAATAATACTTATATTCTATAATAATAATAATATTTGACACTTATGAATATGAAAAAAAACCCACAAAATACATTAAATTCAAAGAGGACGTATTGGAACTGACTTTAACACTGTTGCAGATATATTTTTCACTTATTTTCTGTTTATTTCCGAATTCATATCCATAGTATATGTACCGTATTCATTCGAATTAACTCCCAAGTTTGAATAAACACCCCACTCTCCAGAATTTGGAATCCTTCCATTGTTGGGCACTGTCTAAAACTTTCTTCCAGCTTATCTCTGAAAAGATTGTAACCTTTTCGTCTGCAGTTGGCTCATGAATTACACAGGAGCCACTGAGCTTCCATGACGGCCTGGCTCGGACATGACACGTTGTTGTTTGTTGTTATTTCGCGACGTCATCAACGAGTACAATACATTCATCAACTAAACTGCCTTAAAGAAAAAAAAAATGCTTCGTGTGGGGAATCGAACACACAACATCCATGTTTGCTATTCATTATCCACCATCAACTAAACTGCCTTAAAAAAAAAACTGGCTCGTGTGGGAACCGAACCCACGACCTTCAAAAAAAAAAAAATAAATAAAAAAGAATTTAAAAAAAAACTTGCCCCGTGTGGGAATCGAACCCACAATCGCCGAGTTTACTACCTTGATCCAGCATGACTAAACGGAGGGAGGTAAACCGCGGTCCCTAAGCCATAAATGCGATAAACCTAGAACCACACCAAGTACCAGTTAGTCAACTCTGATCCAACTAGAAAAAATTATTTGTATATAGACACTGCAGGTTAATATTACGCATGGTCATGATGTCAAAAATGGGCCGTGGGCCAAGAGGGTTTATTTTTTTGTCTAAAAATGTAGAATTAAATTTATAATCGATTTTTTATTGTTACGATCTCCCTAACTTACGCACTTTTTTTTAAAAAAGACAAAAATATTTGAAAAATTCATTATGCAAATTAGAAAAAAATAGACCAATCATGTTGCGGGAAACCTGGTAGTTGTGTGTTCAATTCCCACACAAACCAATTTTTTTTTTTTTTTTTTAAGGCAGTTTAGTTGATGGTGGATAATGAATAGCAAACATG